ATAATCATCAAAATTATTAAATTTTTTTCTCACATATACCTTATTATCACTAGGTCTAATATATAATTGGACATTATTTTTCTAGCTAAATTAAGTTCTTTAAAAAACACATCTAGTTTTAATTCAAGTTTTTTCTTTAGAAACCAATAATTTCATTTTTTATATTCAATTTGCTTTTATATATCAATTTTTTAATATATTAATTTTATTTTTATATTTTATATATAAAAAATTATACCTTATTATATTAGAGGACATGATAAATAATATCGAAACACACACATGTTATACATAACAGGGCATAACTGTATTAACAACAAGCCCCTCTCCATTAAATTATCCCAGCTCCGCCCTGGATAACAGGGCATAACTGTATTAACAACAACGAGAAATCACAGCACTGTTTAGGCCACTAAGAATTGACAACTGACACGCATCACATCGTAATTGAGCTGAAATGGGTTTGCGGGTTTCTGACCGCAAGAACTGCAGACCGTCTGAAACCAAAGAGAATAGCCGAAGGGGGAAAAGCTGGGCATTTGAATTTGGAGATGAGCTCTAGATGTGCCCTATAATTGTGGAAGATCTTGCATACCCAGTACAAATCCTCATAGAAATTAGATTTTCTGGGAACATTTGATATACAAGATTTGCTTAATAGCATCTGCAGCAGATGCTATGCGATGATCGTGCTGTTTTTAACCCAGGTGATCCGCAGTTTAGACCTGACCATCCAGAAGGGTGTTGTGGAAAGTCGATCTAACAACACTTGGGCTCGGATTCTAATAGAAACTTACATCGAATCTGCAAACGCACACAGGCTTGCAAGGGTTTCCATACACTGGGGATCTTCTGGCCCCTGATGCAGCTTTTTTAGCGAATAAGGAATTCGATATCTAGCAAGTTTTGACGCATCCTTATCCAGTGAAATACGAGGGGAGATTGTGTTTCTCACCTGATGAGCTTTGTATACCAGAATTGAATTAATGTTGGTTATTACAAGGAGTGATGGTTTGCGTACAAATGTGGAGATTGTTCTTGCAGTTTGCAAAGCTTCGTTAGATCCGAACCAACTCTAAAAAGGTTAAAACTGAAAGCATGCTCGAATGTTTCATACATTGTTTGTAAAATGTCGCTGGTGATCATAACAAGCTTGCTTAAAAAATAAAAGTTAAAATGAAGGAAATGATCCAGGAGAAGAATCCTTGTAAAAACTGCACCCCTTTCACTGGTTTGACAAATCTAGGATCTGAGAGGTGTTTCAGCTAGCAGCAATGTGTGCCACCAGCCACATGCCACCATTTTTGGTCGACAACCTTCAATGGGAACTTGAGTAGGGGTGTTACGATCAATTGAATCGCCCACGCCAAGCTGCATGTAGCCAATAAGATGTCAGCTAAAGATGTGCATTTGGTACACCAATTCCGAACAGGAGCTGTGAGTATAGTACCTGACCATACTTGTTCCAACCCCAGGAAAATACTTGGCCATCCTCTTCAAAAATAAGCAAAGAAGACCCCAAAAAAAAAAAAAAAGACACAGTCAGAGCACATGTTTCAGAGATTACAAATAAGCTTGTTTTAATTGATAACTTATGGATACAGCTACAAACAATAGCCCTATACTAGTTTCATTGTTGCATCATCATGGAAATCGATTTCAGATAAAGGATTCCCCCACTTCAAGTAAGAAGGATCCCTATTCCTATTACTTAAGCTGAAAAATCAGCAAGTTCCACTAATGGGCATCTTGTATTGTACTTGAAAAAGAAAATACACTATCAATGCTGATGGAACTCTGGTGCCACTTCCATAAGCAACAAACAATATTGCATGGCCTATCCCTACTCCTATGAAAATCTTCACTAATTAAGCGCCAGTTTATTAGACAACATTTCTAATTTTCTGGTATAGTTTCTTTATAGCTGGATAAAAGTCTTAATCCCTTTATATGCACTGAGCACTGTTGAACTAAACTGGTAAAGAGCTGAAACCTAGTACCTAGTAGAATGGCACTGTGTCGAGCACCACAAGAAACCATCTTCACCAGCTTACTCTCCAGACATGGATCCTCCAAGAGCCTAGGTAGAGTCTGAAATAAACATGCGAATGCCTCAGTTATTAGTTAGTTTCCTTCAGTTGAATTAGTCAATATGTAAACCACGTATATCGTAGTTAAAAAAACACTACTCATGGATTTTTTTTAACAGGAGCGCGAACACAATTCAAGGCGATGACAGATGTAGGAGGTACCTCGCCCTCGCTAGCTCCAGTACCCAATTGTCCAAACTGATTCCCACCAAATACATATACACGACCATCGATGGTGATGCACATAGTGTGCCATAGGCCAGCAGCAATTCTTTCAATTTGGATTCCTGATAGAGAAGGTAAACAAGTTGGTCTCAACTGATCATTTGTACTCCCGTGTCCACACTGAAGAAAACAATTCCATCACAAACGACCATTTTAGATACAGGTGGTTTAAAACATATAATAATCTGAACCTAATTTCTACCTGAAACAAAAAAATAAAGAACGCAAGAAGATAACATCAGCTTAGGAATATAGAAAGCTCACCTGCCCGTAAAGTCCCCAGCCAAATGTAAGTAGTGTTCCAGCATCTGCAATATCAACAACATAAAGAAGACTGCAAGTGAGGTATTGCTGATAATTATAGGTTTTTTTTTTTTTTCCAAGTAAAGGACCATTGATTGGAGCAATGAAAAGAGTCTAGGACTTGCAACCACAAGAGAGCAGATTCAATTGTTGAAAGCAGCCACTTCATCAAATGTTGTTGAAGGATAGGATTGTCCTCAAACATTTGCTCAGAGTATTCCACTTCAATGAGACCATAATTGGCTAATAATCTCTTATTTGTCTAAAAAGTAAAGTAGACGAAGTCAATCAAGAATTCAACTTCCATAGTTTGCAAATGAACTTGAATGCCATAACAGTTGAAGAGAAGTTTTTCTTAGTTGAATTAAGATTTTGATGCATAGCTGGTGGCCAAACAACTGGAAATTTCACTACACTTTTAGAGGAATTAAAATCATTCGAGTTAGCAATCATATCAGTTGCAGACGCTAACCTGTTACTACTGCACTATGCCGACCTCCACAAGCAATCTCCTTCACATAACTTCCAGGGAATTTAGAAACTTGTGCTGGCAGATTTGTGCTTCCATTATGAACTACTGAGGATCTGTGTTTTCCAGTAGCAGGTTGCTCAGTAAATGGTATGAGATGGGGAGTAGACACCATTTTTACACGAGATCCCAAACCTAGCTGCCCTTCTCCTCCGTATCCCCAACCCCAAACCTGTCCCGTATCTGAAACCCCAGTTAAAAATATGACATCATGAGTCTTGCTTTACATAAATAAATCTTCCACATCTTCGTGCTTCATACAACCTACTGCGAGCTTCTAACCTACAAGACAACCTTGTGTTGCCGACCAAAGAGATTGTTTATGGTATTCGCTTATTTTTTAAAATATTTTTTAATTAAAATAATATTTTTTTAATTTTTTAAAATTTATTTTTGAGATTAATATTTCAACATAATTTATAAATATATAAAAAAATTAGATTTTTTTTTAAAATATTTTTGCCCGCACAAACAAACGGTGTGAAACAAGAGACTCACTCAATCTGTAATTTACAACTCAACTGGCTAAGAAGAGTGTCACTCAATCTGTAATTTACAACTCAACTAGTTATCAATTTTCATTTACCGGACAGGGCTAAAGTATGGCGCCCACCAGCAGCCACGGAGGTGATCCTTACTCCTGGACCCAACGACACAATAGCCGGTGTTACTGTGAAATATTCATCTCCATATTCCGAATTTTCATTTTCTTCTTTCAGTGACACTCTTCTTCGTTTCGCAATTTCATCTCCGCTCCTTCTGTCATCAGAAGACGCTGAACTCACTGCAATCATTAATTTTTTTCCCAAAAAAATAGAAGAAAATTACTTGAGAAAAAGAAAAGGAACTAACCCCTATTATTTTCTAAGAAATGCATTCTTTCAACCTGATTACCTTGTTCAGTTGACAACACATTTTGCTTGGCAGCATTATCCTTCTGGAGGGCTCCCCAAGAAGCCCCATCACGAGGAAATTTTCCAAGCGGAACGCACTCTTTCCATCCCCATGTATACAGTTCCCCCGTATCTGCAGAAAAAGAAATCAGACAAGCAAAAATAGCACGCGACCCCACCCCCACAATTCAAATTCAGAGAAAACCCACCCCTTAAACATTTTGCCAGTATATTTTCTTGAAAAAGAAGAAAAAAGTGGATTACCTGTAACAGAAACACAATGAGCCCAACCAGCAGCAGCTTTGAGGATGGAAGCTTCAGAAGGAAGAAGAAAAGCCTCAGGAGTTTCCTTAACAAAATTTGTCATTGCATTGCAGACAACATGAATCAAATTCAAACACAAAACTACATTTTTATTTCAGAAAATTTCCAAAATAAGAACTAAAAAAGAAAATCATTACCCCATGCTTTCCACATGTCACGTAACTTTGATTTTCATCATCAGCCGATCCCCATGTTACCAGCTTTCCACCTTCTATTTCCACATTAAAAAATCAAAATAATTTAGACACATCAGATCTGCCCAAATAATTCATTAGAAACTAATCAGTTTTAACCTGATATTGCCATGGCGAAACCACAACCACCACCACATACATCCTTCCATGAATCATCTGCATCTGGATAATTCACCGATATCGGATTCAGGATGGGTGATTTCTCCGGTGAAACTCCAGGGAGATAACCCCACATATACACTGTTGCTTTTTTACCTTCCTCCATTTTCCCATCTTCCTGCTCCTTACCGTTACTACCATTTACCGCCATCCGAACAAACAGTAAAGTCTTGTAGTCTCGACGAGTTCAAGTGCTGGTAAGACTGACAAATGTTTGAAAAAAAAATATCAGCTAAAAGCAGAGGTCGTATCATTTACAAGGAGCGGCGATATGCCACGTTGGATGCTGCTAGTAAGGGAATGGACACGTCGCATTAACCGGGCGCATTGCTAGATTATTCCTCTCAAGCTGTTAGTTCCCCGGAACTTTCTGGAAGAGGAGGAATTGCCAAGCTAATTGAGCGCCATGTAATGGGCTTGACACGTGTCATCATCCTAATGAGTTTCTGGAGTATTCGTTTGCGGCCACGTATTCAACAGAAGTTTCTGGAACACGGAGAATTTCCTATTTCCTATTTCCTTATTGCTTGACACGTGGGAGTTGAGTATTTTAATTCGTCTTGGCTTTCTTGTTCCTTGTTTTAACCTTTTAGTTTAATCAATTAAATATTAATTATTATTATTTAGCATTCCTATTAAAATATGCATGTGGTCAAGATTCACAGGTTTTTTATATACGGCTCAGATGACGCCACGATAACCACAATTCATTAGACACTGTGCTGTGTTGTTTTTGTTAACCGTTGTGATATAAAATTTACATAAATTAAGGCAGCGTCGTTACATGCAGATACCAGCATAATTACTCGTGTTTCTTAGCGGGTAAGAAATAATTTTTGTTAATATATAAAAAAATATATTTAACGTCTAGGCTGCTACAAAAATAAATCTAATAGTATTAGGGATCTTTGATCATGTTGAAAGTAAAACTTATTGTTATTAGGTTCTATATTATTGATTTTTATTACGCTGCTGGATGAGATTATAGAGTCTCATTTCATTTAATATTTTTGAGTTTAACTATAAAGCTAGATTCAATCGCTATTAGATCTAGTTATACAGTCAAACTTAAATATTAATAGGTCTAGTCGTTGAGCCAGATTCAAATACTATTGGGTTTGGCTGCGAGCCAGATATAATAGCAAAAAAAATTAATATAAAGTAAAAAAAAATTAAAAAATTAATTTTTTTAAAAAAAATATTTTTGAGATGCCAAAACAAACATGCTTTAATAATAAATTTTAAACCAAAATAAAATGAAAAAAATTATTATTATGCAACTTTTATACAACATAGAAAAAGTCATATCAATTTATTTTTTCTTTATCGTGTGAAAAAAAAACTAAATAAGAGAAAAGAAAAAAAAATCTAAAGAGACAAAAGGATAAAACTTAAAATATCCAGGTACAGCTGAAAGTTAGATCTAATATACATGAGTCTGGCTGCTTGCCAGACTCAACATCTTTTGGAATTGATTTAGATCTAGCTATCAAACCAGGCCTAATAATTTTTGACATAGAAAACAGAAAAGATAATACATGTCAGCAACACTCTCATGACGCTATAGTGTCATCAGCAATGTAAACACTCAATGTCTATAGTGTGGTTTATAATATGGCCGCAAAGTCAAACCTAAATGTTATTGGCTCTGGCCATATTAATTTGAATTAAAGAAATAAATAAAAAAATTTCAACTTTTTTTAAATCATTTTTGAAACGCAAAAACAAACTTCCTTTAATTAGAAAATTCAACCTAACCTGAAAATTAAAAAAAATCATCAATTAACTTTTGTACAACATAAAAAAGTTTCATTAAGTTATTTCCTCTTTACTGTATGAAAAAACAATTAAATAAGAGAGAAAAGTTAGCATGACCCTATGCTAAGAGAAAAAAAATTCAACTCTACCCAATCTTAAATGAAAAAAATTATCATAACCCAACTTTTATATAATATAAAAAAATCTCATCAATTTATTTTCTCTTTACCATATAAAAAAATAAGAGAAAAGAAAATAAAAATCTAAAGAGATCAAAAAATAAAATTGAAAATATCTGAATCTAGTTGAAAGCCAAACCTAATAGCCTTGAGTCTCACTGCAAGCCAGCACCGACACCTATTGGAAGCGATTTGGGTCTCGTTGTTAAGCCAGACCCAATAGCTTTTGGAATAGAAAATAAAAAAAGATAATTTCCACCAACAGTACTTTTTGACTAAAAACCAGCAAAGAAAACGTCTTCATGACGCTACAATGTCGTTCGTAGTGTAAACACTCCATATCTACAGTGCGGTCCTTAGTTTGGTCATGGAGTCTAAGCTAAAAGCTATTGGAGCCAAACCCAATAGAAAAAAAAAATTAATTTCAAGTAAAGAAACAAATAAAAAAACTTCATATTTTTTTAAAAGTATTTTTTAAATGCAAAAACAAATATACTTTAATAAAAAAATTCAACCCAACTTGAAAAGAAAAAAATATCATCATTCAAAATTTATACAATATAAAAAGTCACATCAATTTATTTCCTCTTTACAATATGAAAAAAAAAATCAATAAGAGGAAAGAAAAAAATGAAAGAGGAAAAAAAATAAATTGGATATATATTGGACACTACTTTGCTCTACGGTTTGGCTCTTTGGTTCTGTCATCATGTCAAAATTTACAAAAACATCAAAAAAATATTAATTTAAAGTAAAGAAAAAAAAATAATTTTTTTATTTTTTTAAATGCATTTTTGAAATGCAAAAACAAACATATTTTAATAATAAAATCCAACCTAATGTGAAATGAAAAAAATTATGATCATCCAACTTTTGTATAATATTTAAAAAGTCACATCAATTTATTTTGTCTTTATAGTATGAAAAAAAAATCAATAAAAAAATCAATAAGAGGAAAGAAAAACAATTTAAAGAGGAAAAAAGTAAAATTGAATATATGTTAAAAGGAAATAAATTAAAGGGAAACAAATTAGTAGAAAATACTTTATTTGAATATGGTGGTAGTGAAGATACATGCTATGCTTTTAACCTAACTCATGCATTTTTACATTTGTAAAAAAAATTGTTATTAACCACTGCGGAGCTAGACTAAAAATTACTTTATTTTTCTCTACTATAGAAAATATTTTATTTGAAGCAATTTAGGTTTGACTACCAAGTCAAACCTAGCACTTGTCAGATGCGATTTGACTAAAAACAAAAAAGACAACGCCTCTCTATAACACTTTTTGACTAAAAACACACCAAAGCTAACAACCTTATGGCGCTACAATGTGGGTCACAGTACAAACACTCTATGTCTGAGTATGGTCCATAGTGCGATGAGTTTATATCCAAAATAAACATATAATATTTTTCCCGTGCCTTTTAAAGTATTGTATAATATATAATATTTTTTTATTCTTTTAATAAGAAAATTAAAAAACATTAACAACATGATATCTTAGTCAACTTTGTTTATGTCTTTGAATTCTTATAAAAAAAACAATGAATGCGTCAAATTATTTTAGTAAGAGAAACATTCACAATAAAAAATAATTTTTTTTTAAAAAATCACAACTTTTTAAAATAGTGATTTAAGAAACTATCTTATTTCAGTCAACACTTCAATTGGAGTTATTCGTGATCTGATTGAGATAAAATATTATAGACATGAGGTTCAATAACCTAAATAATGGAGATTAGATTTCAAGAAGCTAGACTCATGTTTTTTTAATCATGAATGGAAACTACAATTTTGTTATTTAAACACAAAAAAAGAGAATTATTTTTATTATTTTATGATTGATTTGGATATATCGAATTAGAGAAAGAGATCCTAAATAAATATGGATTCACCAAAAGATTGTAAGAACTTTATCTATGTTGCCAAGCTCGTTAAGCAAGCTAAATACTACAATGAAATGGTACATGTAATGAAAAAATTTATGAAATTTAATGTTGAATTAGTGGAGGAGAGAGAGACTCTTCATCCTTGTGAGTTACAAGAATGTAATTTATATGAGTATGAAATCATGAATTATAAATAATCTTCTCATCAATTAAGAAAAAGAAAGAGCGAAAAGAGAATGAAAACAATGTGAAAAGGTTTGAAAAGTATAAGAAAAAACTTGTAGAGTAAATGATATTATGATTATGATCCACGAGCATCTCATTCTATTATCTATAGTTTAGAAATCCTCTACGTGTTTGCTATAAGATTAAAGATGTGCATTACCAACATTTAGGGGAATTTTAGAGTGGTAATGAGAGGAAAAAGATACTAATCAATCATTTAAGGATATAAAACTACGACAATAAAATGATATAAAATTACTACAACAATTGCATATTGAACTAGGCTCAATTAGTTTAAGAATAATAATGGTGTTGATAAGTCTACTTGTAAACTTAATGATTGCAACTAGATGGATCATAACAACAATCATTGTTATAAGCTTATAGGATATCTATAATAGTGGGTTTATACTCATGCTTTATGTAAGAATAATTTCAAAAAGACCTCAGATGGATCATAACAAAATTCATTGTTATAAGCTTATAGGATATCCATAATAGTGGCTTTATACTCATGATTTATGTATGTAAGATGACATGCACAAAAAAAATTAATGTCTTCTCCCAAATACAGGAGTTTCGAAATAATAAATAATTCGGCAAGACCGGGGTCGAACCACAGGGAAATTAATTGTATAAATTATAGATCACAATAATACAACAACAACAATAATAGTAACAATAATAGTAGTAGTAGTAGTAGTAGTAGTAATACTAATAATAATAATAATAAAGAAGAAGAAGTTGATGAGAACTTTGAGATGAAAAAATAATGTAAGGATTAAACAATGATAACAACAAATGTCATGGTTAGAGGATCCACTATTGGTACGTCAAACAAGTATAGTATAAACTCTTATTATTCAATTGGAAACCACACACAAATCAGATTCCAATCAAATTATAAATTATTAACATGATTACATTAGTTATCTTATTTGATTAATGCTAATACTTGTGAATACTGTCAGGTATTTATGATTATAATTTATGTTAACAAATAAATCAAATTCCTTTCATAGCTTAGGTGTCAGTTATACCATATATTATGGGCTATAAGAGTGTCAAGCATTTGTTGTACTAAGTATTATACAACATAAATTTAGATTAGTCATTTAACAAGCAAAGTATTAAAGAATGAACAAGATAACAAATACAAAACATGTTAGTATCAAACATTAAAGTCCATATTATGTTTACACTATACTTATTCTTACACCATTAGTATAACCTTTTCACCTTGATACAATAAATTTAGCTAAACATAATGAAAGAAAGAAAAATAAATAAACAAAATAAGATAAAAGTTAACTAAGTAAAGGAAAGAAA